TTCTCGATGGAATGGAAGGAGTGCCTCCAGACAAGTTTTATATACTTGGTAGCGGGGCCGTGGAGACGATTATAAACGATGGAGCGGTACTCCATGCTGTGATTGATAACGACACTGAGGCTGTCATCATAGACGAGGACCTGGGAGTACAAGTTGGACTGGGCCTCGATAGGTCATACCTATTCGAGATAGAGACGGCTGATGGGAGAAAGCAACAGATCACTGGGGTTTGTCACAAAGCAGCCATAGAGGTCCAAGGGGTACGAGTGACCCTGCATGTCTTTGCAGTCCAGAACTGCAGCTCCGAGCTGCTCTTGGGTCGAACGTGGCTGAGCCACGTGCATGCGGTGACGATAGAGCGACCAGATGGGAACCAAACGTTGTCCATTAAGAAGCCAGATGGGACGCGGGTAATGATTGAGACAGTGGAGCCTCGGGACCCGAGGAACAGAGCAGCTCTCGCGGTAGGTGCAAGACCCAGTGATCAGATTAAGTCGTTGCCTATCTCTAGCCGCGCGGTGCGATTTCGCGAGAAGAAATATGGACCACTGTTCACAGAGGAAGAAGGTCGGATCGTGGAGGTGGAAGACTTAGGGAGCCAGCTAATAGTGGACGGCAACTCGTACCCAAAGGAAAAAGATGAGGAATTTGGCGGTATGGTATCCTATGGGGGGCTACCCAAGCGACACAAACGAGTAGCACAAAAAGTTAAGCCAACGGTGGTGGGCCGCGAGCGATCTGCACTAGAAGGGATATCGGAAGAAGAGATTGCAAAAGAAATCAAAGAAAGAAAGAAAAATGAGCCGCAACGCCTAACGGAAGAGAGGATACCAGGGATGGACATCGCAGATGGGAATTTGACCCCACAGGAGCGATAACGTGTGATAGAAATCCTGAAGACATGTGATAAGGCCATAGCTTTTAGTGACGCGGAGCGCGGTAGGGTTGACCCTCGATACGCTAAGCCAGCAAGGATTTACACGATACCACATGTTCCCTGGAATGACGCGGGATGAAAATACGCCCAGAAGGAGAAGGAAGAAGTTATCGTTTTCCTGAAAGAAAAGATGGTTTCCCATGTTGCGGAGCAGTCTGATAGCGCTTATGCTAATCGATGGTTTTTCCTACGAAAGCCGAATGGCAAGATCCGATGGATCCAGGACCTTCAAAAGGTTAACGCGGTAATGATGCGAGACGTGGGCTCCTTGCCACACGCCGATTTACTGGCAGAAGGCGTCGCAGGTAGGTCGATTTATTCGGTCTGTGATCTGTTCTCAGGCTATGATGAGGTGCCACTTGGACCTTGAGACAGGCACCTCACGGCTATGCATACGCCATTGGGATTAATACAGATGATGGTTGTCCCTATGGGTTGGACTAATGGGGTAGCCGTTTTTCAGAGAGCCATGGTAGCCGTCCTCAAGGACTTCATCCCTGATAAGGTTGAAGTTTTTCTAGATGATTTTCCTATAAAAGGGCCAGTAGACAGGAATGAAACAGAGGTTGTACCTGGAGTTAGGAGATTCCTCGAGCAGCACCTAACAGATATTTGCGCGGTACTCGAGCAGCTGGACGATGCGAATTTAACAGTCAGCGGAACAAAGAGCCGATGGACCGTCTCAACTATTAAGATCTTGGGTTTTATCTGTGACTCGAGAGGACGCCAAGCAGATCCGGCGAAGTTAGACAAACTTCTGAACTGGCCCGCACCGTTACATAGCCCAACCGAGGTACGGCAGTTTCTAGGAGTGGTCGGTTACTGGCGTATATTCATACGGGGGTATGCGGAGAAGGCTGAGTCATTGAGGTTACTCCTTCGAAAGACTGAAAACTTCTATTGGAATTATTTGCAGGAACTTGCTATGCAAGAACTTAAAGACGAATTTAAGGAAGGAGGACGCGTGTTGGGTGTGCCATTCTTTGACGATGAGACCGAGAGACCCTTCATAGTATCCACGGATGCTGGACCATGTTCAGTGGGTGGTTTGCTGTCTCAGAAGGACGCTGGAGGGAAGGAAAGACCGTTAAGATTTGAGAGTAGGACACTTAATACGACTGAGCGTAACTACAGTCAATTCAAGAAGGAAGTGTTAGCTGTTCTCCGCTGTCTAGACACGTTCAGACACTATATCTATGGGCGACGGTTCATCTTGAGAGTAGACCCCACCGTGGTTGTCTCTGTCCTCCAGAAGGACTTTAGTCTGACGGACCCGACCATCGCCCGATGGTTAATACGGATTCGGCTATACGATTACACGGTATAGAGAATATCTGGTACTAAAAATGTCGTGGCAGATGGACTTTCACGCATCCCTCTCGAGCGTCCGATAGTAGCTGGGGCTCTGACAATGGCAGAGCCGAGACGCGCCGAGAGATTTTTAGTTAATCTTTACGAGGGCAAGTACCGAATGATCGGACTACACCTGACGAGAGAGGAGAGTCAAGATTCAGATATCCGGAGGCAAGCAGCCCAGTACTGCCTTAGAGCGGGCCACCTTTTCCGAAGGCCAGTAGGGTCTGGAATGCCCTTACGAGTAGTCAGTGATCCTGAGGAGAGACAGACGATAGTTGCGGAACTTCACGAAGAGAGCTCTTGTGAAATACAAAGAGCCACTTCATCCATCCTATCCGACCAGACCAGGAGAGAAGGTACACATCGATTTAGTGAAAATGCCGAAAGGGGTAGG